GAAATAGCCGATGTGACGAGGATGTAGATAGAAAAGGGCTGTGAATGCAGAGCAAAAATAAAAGATTTGGACGATGCCTCCAAGAGAACCAAAATACGAGCCCTGGGGGGGGGGGGGTGGAGCGCACTTAGGAGGAAAAGCGATGCGATTGGCTGTGGCGTCGAAAAGCTCCGCTAGACAGGGCTGGAGCTACCTGAGCCCAAATATGGGAGCAGATCGGCCCGACGAAATGAGCTAGAAATGACACTCGGTAATGTCAAGTCTCGTTCCAAGAAACCGGCGAGCAAGAGGCGATGACATTCAAAATTTGGAAACGTAACGATGGATTAAGCGAACGGGCAGGAGCGTGTAACCGCACTCGGCGATGAGCCCTGGGTCACACAGGAGTAGGCGGTGGCCAGGGCTCATGCTGAGACTGGGATGTACCCCGCTGCCCGAAATTGAACGCGACGGTGCCCCGGGAAGAGGCGGGAGGGGGCCACTATATTTAAATTCGAATATTTGGCAGGAGCTCAAAAGGAAGCCCCAAGCCGGGAGGCTGCTTCAAGTGGGATCGTTAGAGTAATGTCATAGTTGTTAGGGGAGGTCAGGACTCTGGATTCTCCGCGCTGCATGCGCCGACGGCAGCGCTCTCAACGGACGCGCCATAAATCAATCCGTCCTACACCGTATCAAGATAACCGGGGAGTTATGCAACCGTGCTGCACGCAAAGGTCAACTTTTATTTTCGACCGGGGTGCTGCGTGTTTCGTGACACTGGAAATGTAGCTTTGAAAATGGGCCTGTTCTCCAGAGCCGAAAGTTCGCGACGTAGATGGAGAGGTTTAGCGATAGAGTGATCATTCAATCTTTAGGACGTATTCTGCACTGATTATTGGGGGTATTATCCAAATTACATTAAAATAAAAGAAGAAGGGGAGGAAATAAGGTGGGGTCATAGTGTGTTCGAGGACCGCAGCCTAACAACACCGCATTTAGAATAAAAAATCCCGAGTTCGAAAAAGAGATCTGCGAGGAATAATTGAACTTATACAGAATCTGATTCCCTATAGGATGGAATGAGCGGATGGTAGAAGATAATTATGACAGGGTTGCCACAGAATTTAGACTGAAATTTCCCTGACACATTTTGGTGAAATTCCATGATAATTGAAGATATGGTAAATGGTCAAGAACACATGATTGAGAATAGTTTTCAGGCAAAAATTCGTAGTTCGAAACCTCAACCCCGTTTTAGAGAGCAAATAAAGGAGATGAAACAAAATTTCCCTGACATTTACGACATTTTCGTCATTTTCCCTGACCTTCCCCGGTATTCCCTGACTGCGGCAACCCTGTTATAAACCTTGAAAAGTAGGGAGAACGAAGATGTAAAAATACTGCCGCGTCTTCGAATGCGCCGGAGCAGATGGAATCCCGAAAAAACCACCCTCTCTTCTCCCCGATACAGGAAAACTCGGTGAAAAATTAATATTTTCCTGCTCCGCCTGGGCAGCCGTTGGAAGGCGCTCGAGCTGAAAGCCCGAATGGGTGGGATAGGTCTGGGACGCGGGCGCTCGAGACAGCGCCAAGTCGGCCGTTCTGCAAAGCAGTAATAACTGAGTCACGATTGGTTAAAAAGCATGAGGCTTCCAATGATGGCGCGGCGAGACCGGACAAAACTACGCTGTCGGCTCTCTGGAAAAATCCAACATTACTCTCACTACCCTAGACCCGAACAGAGCCATGCTAATTTTCCAATGATCAGGGTGTCTACTAAAACAGGCTGGCCAAAAATCAGCACTTTTACGGTACAGTCCCAAGAAATCCAGTACCTCCTCAACAGAAAAATTCAGTACTTTTTCAATACCTTCACCTGACGAAATTCGAATAATTTCGAAAATTTGAATTTCCCGCTGAAATTGCGACAAAAATGAAAAAAATTCCGGCCTTCCTTGTAAAATTTCGGGTCTTCGAAACCGCGCTGCGGGCTGATTGTTGAAACTGATAGACATAGAAATAGATAAAGAAGACAAAAAGGATATGGACGGATCCTATTGGTGGAAGCGGGTGGTTGCAATGGACAAAAGACAATGGTAATAGACAAACTAACGGGAACCCACGAGAGACCCGATGGTTAGTCTATCATTTACCCCCTTAGTCTATAAGGACCACCCCTTTCAACCAACAGGATCGCTCCATACTCCCTAAGTCTTCTTTGTCTATCCCGTTGTCTATCAATTTCAACAATCAGCCCGCTGGAGTCGGAGCGACAACCGTTCGGCACGAGTAGAACCGCGATCGATCAATTTAATGGATTCGAAGGTTACGTCCGACAACGGGGCATAAGACCGGGCATGTGAAGCTGTTCAACTTAGTGTTTAGTAATGTTAAGCGCCAAGGTCAAAATGTTAGACTCCATCTTTTGTTATTTCCTGGTCATTGCCTTACGACGAGCGCTCCCGCGGGCCCGGCACCCCCCACCGCCCCCCCATCCCCCTCCGTGGGGAGGCGCGCGGGGGGCGCGGGGCACAACTAGACTACCGCCGCCGCCGCCGCATCGCAACGCCGTTTCCAAGTTAACACTTTCCAGTTTCAAGGTCTCATTCCTCTCCGCTCCACCTCAGCGCCCCGTTAGACTGAGTTTCCTGAATCAATTAAACCGTCCTCCGCTCCCCCCCCCCCCCGGGTCTTCACATCCTTCAGACTTCCAGGGGCACACCCCCTGACAGCTCTGCGGTTACACCCTCGCTGTTGCTTAGCGCCGTTTCAATGGGAGGAGGCGGCGCAAAGCTGGTTGCGATTCACTGCACTTGTCTTTTAAGATTCTTGGAATTATACCATCAGAAAAGCGAACTTTGAGAATTCAGAGCTACTGTTTCCGCGCTGAAAATGAGTATGATGAGTATATTGATCGACCTCTAACAAAAAGGGGAGGAAATTCCCACTTCAGACAGGTATTAAATGGACGTATTTCTGTCATACGGAACTATATTCATTAAGACAAGAGCCCTGAGACCAATAAGCATGTATGCATAACATGTCTCACGGCACATAGTTCCGTTTGACAGAAATACATCCAAATGAGAAGTAAGAAAAATCTGATTAAAACATTGTGCAAGAAGGAACTACTGTTTCTGGCTCATTTTAGAAACAACGTATGTGCCACTCCTTTTCATATGCATATAGGCGCTTTTGAGAATAAGCCATAGAGGTAGTTCACAATTGCGAAATACAGTCCACTTATCGGATAATATAGATCGGACGTCTGTTAAAACTTAAAATCGACTGATTGGACGAGCGCTTGGATTTTTCTTAGAGATCATACGGCGCCTGAAAGTCTGACAACTGTTACCAGACATGGCTGCGGCACCGACTGGAGTTACGTGAAAAAAAGACGGGGAAAAGTAATACTGCGCAAAAATCGGCACATGCGATAGTAACCAGAGCGGTGCAATGAATTCTTAATCTTGACCTTGGCATGAAATCGCCGATGATCAAATAACCCATATCTCAAGGGAGACTTTTACGTTACTGATAATCAACGGTTCGGGTTCAATTTTTTTCGCTCCGACGCGACTATCCTATCTTTCAAGCTGAGCCTTTTTATTTTAATATAATCTCAGCATTTTTTGTCGACCGGAAAAGGCGGCTTTGCCTTTTTTTTCTTTTTTTACCAAGAGATAAGATTCGCGTGAATAAACGACTAAAGAAGAAAAAAGACTCGCTGCTTTTGACCCGCTAGCTCCTTGCTCACGTGGATTTTTTCGACTCTTCGTTCACTATGCGAGATGATCCGCATTACTGCCGTGCAGGGGAAAAACGCCGTATGAGCCGTCAGGCGTTGCCAAAATTCCTTTGACAAAACACTAATTTTCAAGAAAATTTGTGGATATTTTTCTTCCAATTTTACAGATAATTTTGTTCGTGATTTGATCTGTAAAGTCTGAAAATTTCAAGGAAAATTGCAGATAATTTTCCTCAAAAATAAACATTTCATCGGAGGAAATTTGGCAACTCTCGAATGTTCATACGGCGTTTTTGCTTAGCACGGCAGATTACCTTTTCCGATGTTCTGGTACGCGTAGGAAAAAACAGGAAGCACCAATCATTTCATTAAATGCAAAAAAACAGGATCTAGTTCGCCAATACTGTTCGAAAATATCGACGGAAGATACTTGATTTCTGGAAACGGAAGCTCGGCAATCGTGGAAAATATTTTGTTTCTTTAAAAAAGAAAATTCTTCGCATTTAGCCCGCGGAGCTACCTCTTATTTCAAGTAAGCGCCGCAAGATCGTTTCAGTGAGCTTTGGACGAACGAAAAAATCCTTCAAACGGGAGGATAGGCAATCCGAACTACTCCAAATCTCGCTTGCTGGCGCACTGGATTAAGTTACTCGAGTAGTCACGAAGTTTTATGCCAGAGATATCGGGAACACACTTTGGTATTTGTTTATACAGTTTTATTATGAATTTTATCGACACAAAATCTATCAATATATCGATCGACAAAGCGCGAAACCACGCACCTCCGCTTGCGGTGTTGCAGACTTCCTGTCATAATTTAGCCTTCTTTGGGAAACTGGTCGACGTAGTTTCTCGAAAGCGTCCTTGATTTTTCCTCTCTAGTAGCAGAGTGTTCTGTATAGATCTCAAGCTCTGAAGTGCACGGAAAAAAATGGATTGCTGATTTAACAAGTAAATTGTTAAAAAAATACGTCCGACGTGTTTCAAACGTACATTTTACAATAGTGGAAAGCTAATTTAACCCCAAGGATGGTAAAATTAGCATTTAATATGGTAAAATCTACATTGAAACAGGTATGACACTTTAAACTACAAAATTGTTAAATCAGCAATTAAATAATTTTCGTGGTGGCTTGTTTCTCGTTGAAAAAATAAAATGGAAGCGAAAATTTTACAACACGTAAAATGGAGATACATGGTTTTGCAATTTGGCTATGGATATGATACAAATTAAAAAGCAAAAAAAAAAAAAAAAAAAAAAAAAGATACTTACATGGTGGCCTGGTATTGCAGAGAGGGTGAGTGCGGGAGGGTGTGGGCGTGTGCCACGTGTGTTGCTGGTAGTAAGGAGATAAAAAGTGAGCAGGGTAGTCGGGTGAGCTTCGATTGCAAGAGCCTGAAAACCAAATGTTTATTTTTGAAAAATTTAAGAAATTTAAATAGCCAAAATTTAATTTAAAAAATTTAAAATGGAAAAATTCAAACAGCCAAAATTTAATGAAATTTCGGCTTGGCGCGATTGATCGTTTAAAATATGAAATATGACAACAATGGACTAGTGTGGTCAGCGGTCACTCGGGCTCTCGGCTGATTCGAGGATCGATGAATTAGAATTGAACAGCTCATTTGAAGAAAGCCGTTAATTCCGAGGGATTCCGTGCAGCCTCGGCCCTTGTTGAATGAGCCGTTTAATTAAGACTGCAATTAATTCCGCGCTGAAATTCAACAAGTCTAGAGACAAACTTTGGTCTCGAGATTCCGGTGCATTTAACTGAGGCAGGGTTGTCAAACTCGAGAAAATCCAAACACTTTCAGCAAACAGTGAGAGGAATAGGATTTACGTACGACTTGGCGACATCAGTCGTTAAAAGAACAATTCGAGACTGTGGCTTATTAGTATTGATTTGAGGACGGAAAAGTTGACTACTTTGTTTCGGATAAGTTTTCCTCCTTCGTCTGATTGCGTAGATCACCGAAAAATAAGTATGGTTTATGTCGCTGTTGAGCTTAGCTGCCTTGAAAATTTACAAAAAAAAAAGAGAAATGAAGATTTGAAAAGCGAGTTGTATTAACCTTGCAATTGATGATGAGATTGTGAGGAGGAAGGGGGTTGAAGCCTAGCGCGGAGTTCATCATTGCTTGTGTGACCACTACTGCTGCTGTCCACATCAGACACTCCTGAGTCGGCAGGGCTTGGTGGAAGAGATCCTGTGAACAGACGGGAAAAACAAAATTAATAAACAAAAACTGACAGTGGTCGCTAATTTTTGAAAGGAAATCCTCCATAAGGCCGCACATGTGTACATACAAAATAGGTTCGTTGCTCATAAATGTCCCAAAAGTTCCAAAAAAAAACCCGCTCTTAAATTCAAACAACTTTCCTTTGTAAACAAATACTTTCAGGGTATTCCTAAAATGTCGAAGGGCTTCAAAGCGATCAAAGGGATCCACACGATGTGCGTCGGATTTTCAACAAAACTGTCTTCAAAACGTCAGTTTCGTTGAGAAAAATGTATCTCCACCATCTTCTTTGAAACCATACTGAAAAAAAGTATGGTAACTTTAACCATGAGTTTACTTGATTTATTACACAGTGATGCTGTTTGGTGAAAATAACCAGAATTATAGCGGTATTAACCAGAACTCTAGTTGTTCTTACCATAATATGGTAAATGCTACCATAGAGTCTGGTGTTTATTACGATATCGCATCTTTGTGTCAGGGTATGGTAAAATCTACCATACTTTTTTTTTTTCAGTGCAGAGCATCTGATCGGCTTTGGCCATGGTTTAGTTTATTTTATTTTTTTTTTTTACCGATGGACTGCGGGTTTCCGATCTGATAAAGGATTCACCTCAATAAACTCCTTACCTAGCTAAACCGAGCGTCGTTATGAAAAAGACCCTATCCCGCGAGCACGGAGGAGGATAAGGCTAGTCTCATTACCAACTCAAAACAAGTCTACTTGAGCTGAATAGTCGTGCCAATATTATGAAAATAAAACAAATACAGAAAGGAAACGCGACTTGCCCAACAGGTTTCGAGGTGGAAGAAAGAGGAGCGATAAAAAAGAGGTAGTGTACACGAGACTATTAATCAGTATGCTGTAGGCTCCTAGACCCTTAGCATGAATAAAGGGTTGTAGGGAAGACTCAACCCTTCCGAGTGCCACTCGTTGGCCAGGAAGGATGGAACTCGTGCAGGTTGAAAAAAAGAGGAGGGAAAAAATCTAACGTGGTGGTGCGCGCGTGTAATGAGGCTTTTGTTCTTCGGAGGTGCTCGGGCGATTATTTAACCAAATTATGTCGAGTCGTTTAATTTCGAAATAATGAGTGGCTTAGTTTGTTTTCGTTTTGAGTTATTGAGCGCGGGTCGAGTCTCGTGGCCTCTACCGGATGATTGTTTCAAACTTTTTTTCTCTGGCCTAATTATCTCCTCATCACAATTCCTTCCGTGATTCATTGACTCGAAAAAAATTGTTCGGCCGGAGCTTCGAGAGTGAAGAGTATGTACCAAACCTTTTTCATCTTTAGGACCTGGATGCGTTGAAGTTCAAGAACCTAGGTATACTGTTGGCCTCAAATGGTTGAGAGCATTAAATAATAGACACGTAGCCACTAAACGTACAGGTTCGACCTAATTTATGGGGTTTCGAGGGTGTAGAAAATATTGATACTTCAAAAATCCCAAAACTTATACTTTTCTGAATAGCTCGGAGACGTCTGAAAAAAACGCTACTTTAACTTGACTTAAAATTCGGGTAATGAAAGTGTTGTTACGAATTTTTTTGGTTAATAAACCTAAAGACTTTGATTAAGAGTTCCTTAAACATGTTCAAAACCATTGCAGTGCTTTACAATCGTAGTACAGCTCTTACTCAATGGCATACTTTCGTACCATATTTTTCAAATTCCAGGAACTTTCAGGCGTTTGAGATTTTAAATCTTAAAGTAAGACATTAGGTCGTTTCCCGGACGAAGAAACGTAACTCCTTTTCAAGGTTGCAAAATTTGCTTCAACAATTTAATTTTTTACAAGAGTATAACTGTGAAATTTATATCTTAAAGTCTAATTTTCTCATGAGATCAGCAGAAAAAATTGCAATTCAGTAAAAATGTTGAGGATTCTCCTTGTACAAATTCAAGCTGCGAGAGGAAATTTGGCAACACTGAAATGTAGTTACGTTCTTTCGAGGGGGAAATCGATTATCGATATTTCCCCATTTGAATCCGTGGCAAAGAATCGATTATTAAGGTGGTCGCTGCGAACACCCTGTTAATCGATCATTTTCCATAGGTTTAAATGACAGAACAATCGATATATCGCAAAGCACGCCCAGCCGCTGCTGGAAAAGACGACTTTTCCCACAAGAAGACCTCACAACCGGACGATTCCAACGGTTTATCCTGGCATAAGCTAAGTTGCGGCGTAATGATAATGACCTAATAAAGACAAAATATTTGCGGGACGTCAAGAGTAACTCATCCTCGCGGCGAAAACCTATTTACTAAGACCCTTCCGGCCGCGAACGGAGGACCGGCAAGTGAGAAATCCTCCGCCCGGACACACTTTACTACCGGCCATCACGCATGACAAAGCCCAAAGGTGTCCGGGCAAGGTCTAGAATTACACGGCATTTTTCATCGACTACTGCCCGGGCTGGCTCGTATTTCAGGACCCGAAAAGTCGCAGATTTACGATAAGAGCCCGTCGCGAAACTAGGCGCCACGCTGTCGAACTGCGCCCCGAAACTAAAGGATTATCACCATCACCTTCCGGCCAAAGTATCACGAAAGCCGTGCGACGTTTAAGAATTTCCGCCGCCATTTTATTTTTTTACAGAGAAACTACTCAACGAAGCTGTCCGAAAATTTCACTGAATTTTCTTTGTGCTGCCGATAAAATTCAGTGAAATTTTCAAACAGATTTAACCAACAATTTTTTTACAAAAAATAAAATAAAATGGCAGCGAAAAACGAGCGATTCTCCTATCTAAGAGTGCTTAATTGGTTGCGTTCGCAGTATTTTTCATGAATTTTTTTCAGAGATGGAAAATTGTATGGAAATAAATTCAAAAGAGAGAAAATCTTCCTTTTTGTAACGTCATAAGGCGGCATTTCCCGTTTAATCGTTAGTTCCCCGCTAATCGTTAATTTCAAAGACTGAGGACATGCTCGTGCTCAGTTTGCTCAGTTTACACAGTTGTTTCTCCTCAAACATGAAATTTGAAAAATTGTGGACACCTGCAAATTTATTGCTTCATCTGATAGTACTTAAAGAGCAGATTTCACAGTATTTTAATAATTTTTTTCTATGACATGGGAAATAGTGTAAGAATAGATTTAAAAGTGAGGAAATGGACCGCCTAGTGACGTCATCTGGTGGCATTCCCCATTTAAACACATGTATTTCAGCAGATTAGATAATTTTGTCATATCTTCTCCAGTAATCGTTCAATTCATGAACCAAGGGTATCATCGTGTTCAGTTCACTTAGTAGTTTCCACTTAACTATGAAATTCATTAAATTTCAGACACCTGCAAATTCTCCATTGCTAAGTGGTAATTTAAACTAATTTTCGAGGTGTCTGGCAACGGTGCGGTGCTGCAAGTGCCGGCTTCAAAGGCATAATTAGGTTATGTTTGTACTGCGGACGATCTTTGCTTGGGTTATTATGCTAATGCCCATTGTCGCTGCGAATCGCTACCAGTCGAGGCGGTGGCCGCGGCATTATCCTGCCTTTATCCCGCAAAGGCTTGTAAATCGCCTCTTGGTCCCCTCCTCGTCCTCGTCCTCGGGCCTTTCCGCTCCATTGACGTCACCGAGACGGACTTTCCAATTAATCAGCGGCCCCGCGGATGTCCGTTGCTTTGACGGATGCCGAAATCAAATGACCTCCGCCGCTGGTCACTTCGAAAATGTCCGGGAATCTTTTTCCCACCGGGTCAAGGTCATTAGCCATCCCGGAATAAAAGTCCACCGCAAAAAAAGTTACGGGCTGAACAGACGTACCGTCCGTTCTGGGCTCTGAGGCCGAAAGTTCCGGGTGCTGGAGCCGTAGCTTAGATTGCTCCGGGTACTGAGCCCGGAACGCGGACGGTATGTCTTGGGTGCGTCCATGATTACGGCTTCTACGGCCGGAGTTTTTTTTTTTTCAGTGTGGTAGAATAAAAGTTCATTTTCGGAAGTAATGTCTTTTCACAAGTGAGGGGGTTAGAGGACGAGGCGCATAAGTGCACTTCGAGAAAAATTTGAGAAATTAATTATTTCAAATAAAACTAGGTTTAAATTCTAAAGAGGAATTGAAATCTTTTTTATAAATCTTAAATTTACTGCACTTTCTGCCACATTAGAAAAAAAAAGTTAAACATAACTCTTTAAAACTGTGGTTAAGGGCTGGCTTGTTAATTTTCCATTCTAGATGTCTACTTACACCAAGCAGAAATCACCCGCTAAGATCCAATTTTTAAGCGTATGAAAGTGAGTTTGAACTTTCTTTTCGCAAAAATGACTCCATGGAGTTTTTAAACTTTACAGATTTTTTATTTTTATAAAAAACATTTATTCCGCTTGTTTTTTCATTAATTTGAAGGGGTTGCTCGAAAGTCATAGCATCTTCTTTGGTTTGTGATTTGTATCCTCCCTTCCGCTAGAATCAAAGTTCCAGAATAACTATAGGAGGCTATGGAAAGTTTAAGTATTGCAAGCTTAAGAAACAACTGCTTTCAATAATTTTGCTTGATACTATTCAAGCGGCAACAGACTAACGCTGCTTTTCAGGTTCTTAATAGCTGCGTTCTTTCCTTTTATCGATCAAATTTTATCGTACAATGAAATGTTTCAATGTCATGACCACGCTATTCGTTGCTTACACAATCAAAGGGCAGAAAACTCTGACCTTGTCGGTGAGAATAAGAATACGGTGGAAAAAACAAGTATCAAAACTTTAAATTATTAGTTCTTCATTGTAACTAATTAGCAAAGGGGAAAGGAGTTCACTTCCTGCGGAATCTATTTAAAGTTGTATTTGCAGAAGCAACTCTTTTGATGATAACGTCTAATAAATGAGGGAAAAAATCATAAAATTTACGGTGGAAACGCACTGCCATCAGATCTGCCGAACAAAAAAAGAGTAGAACTGACACAAAGATGGAATACACGCTTTGCGTGTACTACTAACTACCAATTTAGTAGCTAACATAACAGAA